CAGTGTAGATACGACGTGACAGCAAAAACATGGCGAGTGTGTAGAAAAGAAAAGTGGACACGGAAAATAGATGATTCAAATGTGAATGGACTGAACAGTTTTGAGTGAGTGAGTGAGTGAGTGGTATCTTTATGGAATACACGTGTTGGTTCGGTGTGAGTTCACAGTTTTAACGTACAAGTTTGCTTTAATTTATTTTCAAGATCTGAGGTAAAATATCTATTGTTGCTTTCATTATGGCTATAAAGATAACGCAAAATATTCAAACTCACATTAAACACTTTTAACATTGCATAAAGCACATAATCATTACCTGAGATTATCAATGTCATATTTTGTATGTTGTTCCTGCTGCGACGTCGCAGAAAATAAAAACCGTTCCTAAAATAGAATCCCATGTCGCTTATCGTCACGTGTCGCTGTGGCGGTGGTTAGGACACAAACTACATGGAAAAGATACTTTATCACGTCGTGTCTGGTTGGGACACACAGTGTTACAGTTTGATCCCCCAAAAATCTAAGCATAAAAATATTAATACTGCCAAATCTAGTAATTGAATCTGCAGTTAGGGACAGTGGAGAGAAGAGATCCAGTCTGGAAATGAGCAGGAACAGCTGATTTGCATGCAGACATGGAGATCCAGATTTTTTGTTTGTTCATTTGTTTTTAATATTCAACAGGCAAAGTTCTTCTGTATCTAAATGCAAAAATGTTCATAATTGTTTGAATAAAATCAAAAGGGTTCTTTCTCCTTATTGAACCTGTTTGGCATAAAGGGTTCTTTGGATTTGAGTAAAGAATCCTAGGGTTCTATATAGAACCCCAATGAACCTTTTTTTTCTAAGAGTGTAGGGCTGTTTTGAATCATTTTTGCTGGCAAAATAGAGCGCAGAAAATATTGTCCAAAACTCAACTAATATTAACTCAATATTAAAATCTTATTTATTGGAATATCAATGTCATTTTTGCAACCATGCTGATATTCTAGAAAAACAAATATAAAATTGGACATTTTCCCAAGATTTTTCTCTGTGTGCTAATGCCATTGGTTCTTTTCATTTGTGATGCCGTCTCCGAAGGTAGCAGCCTATGTAGGCGGTGGACAGCAAGGCAGCTCACTAGGTTTTGGAACATGTTTTCTCCACTTCTTAAAGGAGTGAGCTGCTTCCATCTTACAGACCTTTTCTTCTCTGTGCTTTGTTGTTCATGTTACCTTCTTCTCCTCCCTTTTTCTTTCTTTCTTTCTTTCTTCACTCTATCATCTCCCTTCCCGTGTTTTGTCCTCTGGCATGCAGCTATGAGTCGTCAGACGAGGTTTTGCCCCACACGCCGCGGCTCACTCATTTCCCCACTGTGTCTGGCTCTCCAGCTAGTCTGGCTAACTCCATGCAGAGTTTTGGCCTGTCGACCCCCCGCCGTCGCCGGCACACACCCTCCGACATGTAACGACTGAATTCTTCTTTTCCATTACTGTGCAGGTATCGCCCTTGATAATTCAACTGATCTTTTCCTCTCAACATCCTCACACAATTCAGGGTTATTGAAAGTACAGTACCTCCATGAGCTTCATTTTGTTATGCTCCTAGTTGACCTCTCTTACTGCGTCATGAGATTATGCACTGCCTCGAGTGGTTTCTCACCTGTATAAAATGACAGCAATGTAAGACAGCAATGTATGTGTTCCATCCATTTACCTGTAGTTCTGTCTTCAGTGAGCACTGAACTTTGTCATGGCAACTTTTACAACTACTTGATGGCTGTTTGTTTCCTGTCCTGCCTCATGGGTTTCCTTGTCATCAGTGTACAGTACACCTGTCACTCGTGTCCACTACAGCAGACATTCATTTATCAAAAAGGCGCAAATCACATGAAATATAGGGACAGAGCAGCCCGGCACCTTTCTCTATTTTTATCCATATTTATTAATATTGATTACCTCCCCAATCACGCTTGACTTAATTCTTGTGTCTCCTGCAGATACGAAGAGTCTTCACCAGAGGAGGCGTCATCGAAAGAGGAAATAACAGAATCTGATAAAGACAAATAAAAATGCTAATTGAGCTCTCATTCATGTCCTACATTTGTTTGTCCTAGTGATGTGGTCATGTTCGGAGTCTGCTGATGGCAGTCACATGTTCTGTACTTTTGAACTTTATTTTAATGATGTACAACAGCTTTCTCAGTGCCTGTGTATTCTCTTTGTTCCTTTTGTTCATTTCATTGCCTTCAACATTCATATTTAAAAATTTGATTGGCTATTTGCTTTCAAAGGTTTTTTTTTTTTAATTGTTATAATACAGTATTTCAACAGGGTAGAATTTAGGCTCTCTGAATGTCAGATTGCTATAAAAATGTATTAATAATCTGATGTCACAAATACCTTTTCCTGTGTAGCTGGTTTCTGTTATTAGTTTTACACTAGGATCTCATAAAAGATTCAATTTGTGAAACACAAGTAATTGTCCATATTTTATTACATGAAAGGGCAAAAACATTCTGGATTAAATATTTTTACTTTATGCAAGTGTAAACAAAAGTGGGACCAAATATCTCCCTAGCAAGTGATGGTAGTGTTGTAGTTGAATGGTTCTGAGTTTAGTTTTCTGTATTTGCCATATTTGTTTGTACACCTCATGCTTCGCTTGGTAACCATCATTTTACAGTCGTCTCTTGTGTAATCTTTTTTTCCTCAATGTAAAAGTGTAAAAGTTTAAGCTTGTGTGAGGAGCATTTCTTCCTCAGTTTAACTTTTATTTGCATTAAACTGTGGTGTTTACCACTGTAGAAAAGCATATTACCAGTGTGTGCTTGACTATAATTTTCACACTGTAAAATGAGTAATGATCATAACTTTGCACATTTATGCTATGTGTATTATGTATTATATTTTTTTTATAGGCCTGCGCAAATGAATTTAAAACTGGTCAAAATTTCACATTGTTAACCATAATTATATTTTAGTATACAAATACTACTGTGATTAAAGAGCATACTCATACTGGTAGATTAACCATTACAGAAACATAAATTATGTTGGTAATCACCAATTAAGCGTTAGTTCTGGCAGGTCACGTAAGTCAAGCTTGCATCAGCTGATTCTCAGCTGATCACATCTACCTATAGGAATACGACACCTATCGCGGCATTCCT